TCTTTGCTGTATAACCAATAGAATTCTTCGCAAAAACTTCGCCAACTATGCGACCGCCGATCTGCTCACTGGAGATAACCCGCCTGTGGAATTTACGTGCCGACATCTTCCAACGCTGCTGCACGGGGTACAATCACTATGACATCAATAACCCATCCTGAGTCCGAGCTCACTCTCTAGCTGCACAAGTCCATTCACCCCTCGTGGACATCAATTAAATGTGCGGCAAAATCCTTCCAATTCAAAGTTACGTTGTATCCTTCTTCATTTCATGTAGCTCCTTTCCATTATATCAAATCTCCTATCGCATAATAGCCCATACTTCAAATTAGAACCGTAGACCCCAATCATCAATCACTAAATTCCCAAGTGGTTCGAAACTCTCCTTAAGGTGCGTAGTCATCCTAACACAAAGCCCATATGCAACTTCGCCCACTCTTCCACTTTGGCGGAACTCACCCCTCTAATCGACCACTCGACCTTTGCTTCTTATACCTGGCCTTCTAGAAATTTTAACCACCACCTGACACTCCCCACATGTCCTTCCTCATCATTTGCTGTCAGTTGTTGCCTTAATAAAAACTATCTTCGTAGCACTTGAACCCACAAATCGCTACTAACTTTAAACCTTTCCGGAGATCATCTTTCTCGAGTCGTCAACATTAGAAACACCGATTCAATCCTGAACCACCGCACCCCGCGATATCCAACAGTCGTTTCTCCAATATTATTTCACAATATCCTACCCCAAGGGCGAATTGTAGAAGACCATAACACCGACGAACTTAACACATACAATCGTGAACGACGACACTACATCGCAGATAAAAATTCCACCATGCTCTAAATTACCAAGTCTCGTTACTCCATCACCCCAAATCTGGACATTCATAGGCCAATTGCTTTTCCTCCGCCAGAAGTGAAATATCATATCTCTGAATCGTACACTGAGTAGATTTCCTTTCAACTCATTCACCGCCCCAACACATAGGCAAGTCTCCTACCATCAAGTCAATATTGTGCGATAACCAATCGCGAGCATCATAGAAACCTGTGCATAGCCTCCAAGCTCTTAGAAGCACAACTATCGAGCCGAAACGATAGAAAAATCCTTCTGCAAGGCGACGACAATAGCTCACCCAACTATACCGGGAGAAACATCCCGCACCACATCTGTAGTACCATTACAATTCTTCAAATCTCGATTTATAACAAGAGGTTCGCATCGCGTAAGATTGAGTAGGAAGGAAACAAGGGCATAAGCCTCAAGGAATAAAGTAGCGCGATGAGGAAATCAAGAAGGGAAGTGCTCCTAACAGCCTTGTAGCCTCCCGAAGAAAAGTACAAACGTCTCCGTACCGATCCGCGAGACTCTACTAGACTTGCTCATGACTTGTGAGACCTAAGGGAACCTAGTGCTCTGATACCATGTTGTCACGACCCAAAATCCACTAAGGGTCGTGATGGCGCCGGACACCATTGTCAGGCAAGCCAACAACAAATAACTAGTAACTTCTCGTTTTAAATATTTCTGGAATCACTTCTTTTATACGTTTAAACAATACATAATAAATTCCACCGAATAAATAATGAAACATTTAACAGTTTTAAATTTCTGAATAAACCCATAGACATTCCAGAAACCAGTGTCACAAGTGCATGAGCATTTACTAGGGAATGAAATAAAATACAGTAACTGTCCGGTATACAAAGTGGACAGAAATAAAAATACAGTACAATACTCTGAAGGAGACTCTGCTGGATGCGGGTCGTCCCGATAAGTGCAGCTCACCTAAGTCTCCGTATTAACCATGCCGCTATGCCACTAAGCCACTAGTCACACATAAACCTGTACAACAAAAATTCACAGCAAGTGTAGTATGAGTAACGTGTACTCAGTAAGTATCCCGTCTAATCTCGAAGAAGTAGAGACGAGAGGTCGACTTCGACACTTACTAATGGTCCAATAATGTTATATCAATAATATATTAAATCGTGGATTTTTATAAACATGATTGTAATTCAATAGAATGAAGCAAGTAAACAATTCTTTATTTTATAGGAAATTTCCACATTCCTTTTCGTCATTTATACATTTATTCTCCAGCCGGGAAGGAACAACATCACTTCAATAAATTCCAAAGCAAGCAATACAAGCATGCGCAAATCATACCGAGGACGTACGGCCCGATCCAACAATATTTGAACTGTGCACTTCCACAGGGTCGAATGGCGCGAACCATAGATCCATCTATTTAATCTACCGAGGCGTTCGGCCCATTCCACAATAGATAAACACATTCAAACAATCAAATCAATAATTCATCAAGGAGCGAATGTTCAAGAAAAGGCAAGTTTCTCTTTTAAAAGTCAAGAAATGATATCTAGCCTTTTTTAGAAATTCATTTACACATTCGATATATTTTATGCATTTTAAGTTTGTCAACAAGGTTGCAAGTATTACAAGAAAGCTGCTTTTGGGCCCTAAACTACAGGGACTAAAGCATAATAGTAGCTACGCACGGACTCTCATCACCTCGTACGTACGTAGCCCCCGCAAATAGGAGCACATAACCAATTAACTCACCTATGGGGACAATTCTCTCTTACAAGGTTAGAGAGGAGACTCACCTTGCTCCGAAATTTCCATAACCGGCTTCCAAGCCCTTTCAACGACTCCAATTGATGCACAACGCCCCAAAACTATTCAAGCAACGGGCAAACCAATAAAAATTCACTCTAATACTTGTAACAGTTCAAATTATATAAGTTCCCAACTCCGCTCGAAAAGTTGACCAAAATGCCCTCGGGCCCACGTGCCCGGATTCCGAAATTTCTCGAAGATAAATTCTACCCATAGCTTTAGTAACTCAAATATATAGTTTGCTCTAATTTTCATGCTCAAATTCAAGGTAAAAGTCCAAAATTCCAAATTCTAGGTCTTCCCCAAAAATCCCAAATTTATACTAATTTTCCATGTCTAAATCCATGTAAGATCACACATTTAACTCAAAAATAGGAAGAAACCACTTACCTAGTGTTGCTTGGTGAAAATACCTCCTTGAGCTCTCCAAAATCGTCCAAGCCAAATTAAAGAAATGAAAGAAATGGGCCAAAACTCGTGTTTAAAACAAGCAGCCCCGGCTTCATCGAGTTGTACCTTGCGCTGTACAGGTTGTACATCCTATTACAATTTTCCCCTAATGTACACCTTCTATTAAAACGCCCAAAACTCCTTGTGGAGATATCCAAATGACAAAAAACTTGAAGATTTAGAAACTAGACTCGAAGATCTTTCATTTGATAGGTTTCACACCGTGTAACTCTTTATATATTACGAGATATGAGCTTCTAAAGTCGGCTCCATGCATCAGAAAATTCTGTTGAAACTGCTCCACCAGCCATCT